GTTCATGGCTGAGTTCTAATATGTGTGAGTGTTTATGTATATGTATGTATGATATACATACAAAAACAGGGAGGAAGTGCTGGGGTGGGGCATGCACATGTGCAAGAGAACAGCAAAACAAGCAGGTGTCTTGAGACTGACCCTGTGACTGACTGTGAGGCTAGCAGTCATGTCCAGTCCAGTGCAGCATGGGCCAATAGGCTGGGGACCCAGGAAGGCAGCAGGCACAGAAGTCCAATGTATGGCCCACAGGTCCCTGATCTATCTGGGCTTTCAGTGCATTGCATGAGGCCCAGCTGTCTGCAAGGTCAGATTTAAAAACGAATCTCCAGGCAGTGTCAGGCATGGGCTCATAGCGGTTCACAGAGACTGAAGAGGCAGCCACGGAGCCTGCATGGGCCTGAGTTAGGTTCTCTGCATAGACGTTACAATTGTGTATTCTCTTGGCACTCCTCTAACAGTGGGAGGGGAGTGTGTGTCTCTGACTTTTTTTTTTTCTTTTACCTGCTTTTGGGACCTTTTTCCTCCTCCTGGGTTGCCTCGTTCAACCTCGATATGAGAGTTTGTGCCTAGTCTTACTGCGTCTTGTTCTGCTGTGTTCAGTTGACATCACTAGGAAGCCTCCTGCTCTTAAAGGAGATGGAGGAGCAGTGCATCTGCGAAGAGGAAATGGAGGACACTGGGAGGAGGAGAGACTGCAGTTGGGGTGTGGTGTATGACAGAAGAAAAAAGAAAAAACTCATCTACGAGTGCCCAACAAACTACCACAGGATGGAAGCTGGGCTCTCTGATGCCTGAGGGTGTCAGAGTCAGTCTATCCTCTTCTGTGGGACTAGTCCTCTGCCTGTGTGCTAGGGGGTCCATTTGAGAATGAGCCCTTCCCTTGGGCTGCCTGCTCTGCCCCAATACCATATTTGGGTTACACCTCCTAAAAATAGTCTTCATTTGCCTGAAGTCCAATTTTCATCAGGCATCTACATTTCACTAACATTATTTTTAAAAATATATTCTTTTAAATTTATTCTTATGTAGATGGATGCTCTATCTGCATGTTCACCTGCCTGCCAGAAGAGGGCATCGGATCCCTGTATAGCTGGTTGTGAGCCACCCTGTGGTTGCTGGGAATTGACCTTGGGACCTCTGGAAGAGCAGACGGTGCTCTTAACCCCACTGACACATCTCTCCAGACCCCCACCTGGCATTCATAATCTGCTCTCCTGGAGACGGGAAACCCCAGACGGTGCCCTGGCCCAGACATACCAGGCTCCTGGCTACCCAGGACCACGTGGCCAAGGACAGCCTGGTTGCAGGGACGTAATGTGTGCATGGTAGAACTCTTCGATCTCTCTCCTGTGAGTCGTCTCAGCCCGTCTCATGGCAGAAGTTCTGCTCAGGCTCACCCAGGTCAGCCAAGTCCCATTGGCCGGGCCACCCCACCCTCCTGGAGCGTACACATCCACCAGCCACAGGCTCTAGGGGGATTCCAGTGTTTGGAAACAGGGCTCTGGTTGCTCTGAACAATCCAAGTTGGGGTCTAGATGGAGGAGGAGCAGGCCTACTGTGGCGCTCCTTCACAGAGGAGTCCCCCTCGGCCTTCAGAGAAGTCAAGGCAAGTGTGTAACCACCCTGACAGGAATGAAGAGCTGCTGCAGAGACACACAGGCCCCATTGGCCATCGGACAGTGAGGCAACTGACCCTAAGGAACTGGGATTTCCCCAGAGTCTCACAGTGGAAGAAAAAGGCTGGTTCTTTTATGTCAGCCAGAGGGGAGTTTGTCTCCCAGGAAGAGGTTTCACATGGTCCTACTAACTTGTCAGGCCCCCTTGCAGGAGAGCCTGGAGCCCGGACAATGATGGTCCAGTGATGGACAGGACCACACCTCGGCCTGGATTGCTCAGTGATCCAAACCTCTTGCCCCTCTATCTAAACCTCTGTGAGGACCAACTGTGGAGTCGCTGTAGCTTTTTGTGCCCTTTTCCAGTGTGGCCAGACTGAGTCGAGTCTCCGTTTCTGCTTCCATCCTCACTGTCTAATTGGTCTGTTGAGAACAAGAGGTGGACCTTGAGTTGCTGTAACTGCTGAGGCCCCAGCTCTGACCCCGATGGCTCTAGTGACAAGTATGGTGCCTCCATCGAGTTCCGAGCTAAGAGGAACAGAGAAAACTCCATAGGGCATGGGACAACGGAGGCAGGGTGGCCCTTCTGAGAGGCTCCTGCTGCTTTCAAGGGACTTGGGCACCTGCTGGTGAGCTCTATGGGAAGAGAGGTTCTACCAGTGGGACCTCCTTGGTGGCAACCTCAGCCTTTTCTAGTTCTGGTGACTGGTGGCCAGAGCAGTGATGGCTGAGAAGAGACCCTTATGGGGATGGGGAGCCACAGCGGGGTACCCAGTGGCTCTTCAGTCCAGGACAGGTAGTGCCCTCCTATATAAGGATATGTCAAGAGTTCTGCGGCAGGGCAGACTTAGGCACAGTGGCACAGCTCACTCCGGGGGGAAGGAGGGAGTTAGATGAAACCCAGGCCTCCATGGGAACCACTGAAGATGGATTTTATTTGGCTCTACTCATTGGATGCATAGGATCACCAAACCCAGGCCTGGCCAGATGGAAAGGACTGCCCTTAACAGAACCTGGGCTGATCTGTGGACCCAGGAATCCTCCTTAGATGTAGGTGTGGTCACAGGGAGGTAGAAGTAGCCTAGATGGGAAAGGCAAGTCCTTTATGGACCAGGAGCTGCATGGAGACTTGGCAGACAGCCCAAGAACCAGGAGGAAGGCCAAGAGCCTTCAGAGACACATCCTCACCAGGAGCTAGGGGGCAGAGCCTGCTGGCTGTCGTCAGAGGTGACTCTGACCCACTTTCCTGCTCTGGTGTCCCTCCTCGGCCACTGCCGTGGACTGAGATGGTGTGGGGAAAGCGGAAAATGCACTGTGGGCCTTGCCATATCTCGTGGCTGCAGGGCAGCACCTCCCAGCTGGCCAGCCTCTTCTCCTCCATTGGACTGGCTTCAGACGTCTTCCTACCACACCCATGTGAATGATATGGGGTGTCGGGGTGACCCAACATTGTCCAGGCAGCACCCCATGTGAAGGAATGATCAGAGAACTAAATCAGCACTGGGTTCTTGGGCTGACCAGTATGTTTTGTTGGGCCGGTTGTGCTCATGTGTTTGAGGTAAAGTTTAGTTCTTGGGCTGAAAGCTCAGTTTTGGAGCTGGATTATTTCAAAAACTGAATCAAAGGGCTGCCCACCATGACTCGCCATGGAGAGCTTATCAAGCAAGAAAGCCATCGGGTTTTTAAAGATGTGTTTAAAGTGACCAGATAATCGCTTCAACACTGGCTCTTTTTGGAGGTGATTCTGACAACTAAAACTGGTTTCCTTCCTCATACTGGTCTGGCTGGGCTTCCTACTTCCTGGGTCAGTGTGAGAGCTGGTGTGCACCCCGCTTTCCTTCAGTCGGTGCGGGCTTCTCATCCCCGTCTGCATCACTTCTGATTCTGGGTCAGCTGTTAGGGAACCAGAAGCTGTGTGAGGAGAGGCACGCATCCATATGCCCAGCACTTCAGGCTGAGGCAGGAGGATCGTGAGTTCAAGGCCCGTTCCAGCTACATGGCAAATCTGAGGCCAGCAGGGCCCCAGACCTTGTTACAAAAATTTAAAACAACAAAATCCAGAAAGCTACCTGGGGTGTATGGCTGCTCTGTCTTTCTGTATTATTTTCTTTCGTCAACTTCTGTGAACCGCATGCGTGTGCGCAAGAGAAAAGTCTCGGCTTCATGCTAACGCTGAAGTGATGCTTTGGTAACCACGCAGGTGCTAGCATCCAATATGTAAAATGGATGTTTCGGACCTTAGCTCAAAGTCCACCTGGAGCTTCAAGGTTCCAACAAGAGGCTGTGATTAAATCTGGCAAGGCCTCTGAGTACACCCACAGCAGCTTTGGTCCTGGCCGTGTCTCTGACCGCTGGAAGAAGGTCTGAGAGACAGGCCGGCTGAGCTCCCCTGTACAATCCACCCCTCCCAGTCTGTCAATGGTTTCAGGACCTGACGTGGCAGGCCTGTGCCCCTGCATCTGGCACAGGGCTATCCCCCAGGTCTCATTGCTTCCTGTTTACCCTGGTGGGGGGGGGGCGCTGCTCGGTGTCTCTACCCTTTGTGCTGTTCTTCAGGCTCCACAGTGCATCCATGCCACTTCCAGAACTATCCAGAGAAGCAGGGCGTCTTATGCTCGGCCTGACCATGGAAAGGAGGAGGCGACCTTTTTTGGAAGGCCTTGGGGCCCATGTGTATGCACCTAGCTCGCTGCAGTGTTGGGGCTGGAGTGCGGCTAAGCAAGCTGTGTCCCCGTGATGGGGGTCCCGAGGAGGGAGAGGAACATACTGCCTAGGAGCTTGGGACTTGGGAGCTAACTTTGCCCTGGTACTTTTGTGAATAAATTGACATCAGGGAAGAACCCTTCTACAAAGGATGCTTTGCAAGTGTCCACTTCTGAGACCCCAAAAGAAAAAGGATGCCGCCTATGCTTTTTGGAAAGCGCGACATAAATATATTTCCATATAGATAAAAAATACAATAAATAGGTATTGGTCATGACATCAGGACTGCACAGTAGTGGGGGTTATGTGTGGCTGGGGGAGCTGGGGCTCTAGAGACTGCTAGGGCCCCTGTGTTTGAGGTAAAATGTGATAGCAACTGTCCCTTGAAGGCAGAGTTCCTGCGGGACACAGGCTGGGAGCACCGAGATTGGGTGGCAGCCCTGGGCCTCAGCCTGAAGGACCCCAGGGTCACCTGAAATATGGCCACCAGTCACCGGGACTGTGGCTGGGGTATAGCCACCAGCTGGGGGAGGAGGAAAGAGCCAGCTCAGAGAGGGTGGAGAGGCATACAGGCATCTTCACCTGCCCTAGGACCGGAGAGGGCTGGGTGGGTCCTGCCTGCTGCTCATGCCCAGATGTTGGGGGTGGGGAGGGTGGGAGGCATTGGGGTCCAGGGTGACTTCAGCCAGTCCGCAGCTTCAGGACCCTGGAAAGGGGCTCTTTGGCGCTGGAGTAGATGAGGTATGAGCCGGCAGTGGTGTTAAAGGCCTCCCAGTCTCGACAGCCAAAGGTGGGGAGTTTGTGTACCGCCACGAAGCCCTCATAGCCTTGCCACCTGCGGGAGAGAGCGAGTCAGCCAGGTCCCCTTGGCACTGCTGCTCCCAGGGTCAAGTGGGAAACTGAGGCCCAGGAGAGAATCTGGCCCATTCAGAATCCCAAAGCTCCCTCACATCTACCTAGGAACCTGCTCCAGGCACCCTAAGTATTTGCGGGGGCGGGTACAGTCAGGGGGCCTGGCTATTCTTGGCTCCGAGAACCAGGCTCACCCCAAGCACAACACACTCTGTGACGAGCCTTGACAACTACAGTCTTTGCCCTCCTCTCTGAGGTCAGCAGGTTCCCGTAGGTTTCCTTGTAAAAGGTCATGTTTTCCCTTGGTAGCTTCGTGGTCACAGGTGCCTGAGTGGTTGACTCCCAGATTAAAGGGAAGCAGTGGCTGATTTTTTCAAAGGGTATTGACCCTCCAAACCAACAGCCGAAGGCAAGCATGTCACCCTATAAGAACTAGCCATGCCATCCTGCGTACCTGGGCTCCATCAATACAGCAACACACATCGGTTCAACCCATTGCCCTCGGTTGAAAGCATGTTTGTTGTGGGTCAGCGGGGTTCCTGCACATGCATGGTGAACAGCCGATTTTGAACAGTCCTGTGACACCCCCCGCCTCCATCTTCTACATGTTTCAGGTAATACAAAGTCACCTTTGCTTTTCTTTTTCTATTTTTGTAGAAGGGTTTTATGTTTAGATTTTTCTGTTTGTTGGTTTTTTTTTTTTTTTTTTTTTCTGCTTTGTTTTGTTTTGAGACAGGGTTTCTCTGTGTAGCCCTGGCTGCCCTGGAACTTGCTCTGTAAACCAGGCTGGCCTCGAACTCAGAGATCCACCTGCCTCTGACCCCTGAGTGCTGGGATTAAAGAAGTGCGCCACCATTGCCCAGCTCATTTGTGGATTTTTAATCCATATAAAATTAATTTTTGCCCATGGGTATAAAGTAGTGATAGTTTTGCTCTGTTCTAGATAGGTAATTCTATGAGATATTTTATAAACAACACATCCTTTCCCATTGACTTGCAATTCAATAATTTATCAAATTAGGTGATCCTGGACTTCTAGCTGTTCTGGACTCTATTCTATTCCTATTTATCTTGCAGTGTTGGGAAAGGAACCAGGGCTGGGGCATGGCAGGTAAGTGCTCTACCACGGAGCCATATTTCAGCTCGGTCACCTATCAATGTATGTTAGGCAAAACCCGTCCTAGTTTATTTACATGTTAGCAGGTCCTTCCTTTATTATTCCTGTGTGTGTGAGGTCAGAGACAGACTTGAGGTGTCTTTCTCCATCACCCCCATCTTATTTCCTCAGGCTGTCTCACTGAATCCAGAGCGCATTGATTTGGCTGGGCCAACTGGGCAAAGAGCTCCAGACACCTACTTATCTCCACTTCCCCAGACTGGGATTGCACAAATAGGCTGGCTTTTATGCAGGTGCTGGATTTGAACTCGGCTCCTTGTTCAGTAAGCATTTTACTGGCTGAGACATCTCCCAAGTCTTTTCAGTATTATCTTTCAGGAGTTTCTTGTCCACCATTCTTTAACAAATAATGTATTTTTTTTTCTTTTAAGTGTGTGAGTGTTTTGCTTGTTTGTATGCAAGCGCATCATCTGCCTGGCTGGCACCCACAGAGGCCAGAAGAAGGTGTTGGATCCCCCTGGAATTGGAATTATGAATGGTTGTGAGTCACTGTGTAGGTGCTGAGAACCGAATCGGGTTCTTCTGAAAGAGCAGCGTGTGCTCTCAACCACTGAGCCATCTCTCCAACTTCCCCTTCGACATACCCTCTGAAGTGGACTTTATCATGTTCAAAAGACTACAGCGATGGATCTGAAAAGTTTAGTAAGTTGAACCCATAACTTTCCTAATAAACTACAGGTAACCGAAGCATCTCAGGAGAGTGGAGGCCCGAAGAAGCTGGTGAGCGTCGGGGAGGGAGGAGCTCATAAAGAGGTCTCAGACCCAGAACTGAATTTAACCTAAGGGCAGAACTAGACATGCTGTTATTTAAACTGCCCTGGCCACAGGTGCAGAGACAAGCTGCATCATATCGTTCTGAAGTTATAGACTATAGGACGTCACAGACAAACTTCACTTCCTGTTATAAACCGGAGCCTGAGCTGCAGTCAGAATCCGGGAGGATGAAGAAATTCCAAGTTGGCCTCAGCTGCTCAATCCAGGACAACCCTCGCTGTCCATCACCACGCCTGCAGATCAATATCTCAGATCCCAATATCCCAGATGCCTAAGCAAATCGGGAACCAGGCAGGCATCTCAGCATCGCCCTAGCTGTGACACAGATTAAAGAACTGTGCTGGCTACCACTGCTGCTGCCCAAGACGGTTCTGGAACTTCGAGCTAGTTATGCAACTAACTAAGCAATAGAAGCCTTGCCAGGTAAGGGAGTCACTACCTTCATGGCAGAGACGGCCAGTGTGGCTAGGGCCCTGAAAGAAGCCATTGGAGTGGTTAGGCAATGTGACCAGGTGACTAGATGCAAAAACTGATGGCATGCTGGGAATAGAACCAACAGCCCCCTCCTGCTCAACACTCAAAAAAAACTCCTAGAAAAAAAAATGCAAGGAGAGAGGGAAACCAGGAGGCACGAATTCCCACTTAGTACACCCATCTCTGCATCTTTAGCTGTCAGTCATTACTTGAGGGGTGTGGCTTGATGGGGTGTCCTCTAGCAGACACAGCCTGGCATCAGATTCCCTGCCCTGGCCAGATCTGGGCAGGCAAACACCTTCAGCCTGATGGTCTTGAGTTGTTCTGAGCCAGGGGTCGCCTATGGGGGGGGGGGGAGCCTCACCACTATTCATTCTCCTTGCAGTCCTTACCTGTAAATAATACTGTTCACTGAGAAGGTGTTTCCATCGAAGGAATTCGCAACCACCAGGAAGTGATCTTCTCCCACTGAGAAGAACTCCCAGTCCAGTGCACTGAGGAGACAGAGCCAGGGTGAGGACACTGATGTGTGCAGAGTGATGCTTGCCTCACGTTGGATTCTGGGAAGGTGTCTCCTGAGTACGTCTCATTCTTTCACTCTGCAACTTCTTTGTTTTTAAGAATGATCACGTGTGTGTGTGTGTGTAGTGCAATGCCCACAGAGGCCAGAAGAGGGCACCAGATCCCCCTGGAGTTGGCATTACAGAGGGTTGAGGCCTACCCCATGCAGGACCTGGAAACTGAATCCAAATCCTCTGGGCAAGCAGCAAGCACTCATAACCACTGAGCTGCCTCTTCAGCTCCTGGACAGCTGATTTCTAATCACAGCTCCCCCACCTTCCACCCCCCGGCAGGCCTATTGGGTGCCTTAGTCTGAACTTCATTCTCAGCAGACACCCAGTTCCAGATGTGGGAGCCTGGCGTGGCCGGCTGACTCCCAGTGGCCACTGGGCCCAGAGCCCCCATGGGCAGCTCCCACGAGAGTGGTTCTGGGTTGAGCTGGGCATAACTGTTTCCTCTTCTTTGTTCTTTGCCCCAGGAGTTATTTTTGTTTTTAAATGGAAAAAAAAATTTTTTGTCAAAAGTAAACGTTGTGGCTATCTGCCAATCAAAAGATTGAGCCTAACAAGTAGAAAGTCCCTCCACCCTTCCTGACTGCCTGTACCACAGCCACCTGTTTTGGAGTCTCAATTCCCTCAGTGTTCTTTCTCTCAGGCTGAGGAGTGCCTGGCACTCAGAAAGGGGTCTGACCGTCTCCAATAGCTCTTAAGGAATGAAGAACCGTGTGGGCGCTCCTGCTGCATTGTGGGTTGCCAAGCACTCTGGGCCTAGCCTGAGGCTCAGCCCCCTGGCTCTGCCGTGTGGACCATGGAGCTGCAGTTGGCATTTTACTTGGGGCTGGTGAGAGTCCTCCCAGAGGAATGCCATGGGCGTGGGGACGGCTCTGCTGTCTCGGTGCTGACATGGGGCAGGTGGGACAGAATGTGGCACTGCATGGTGAGAGGGCACATTTGCCTGGGCCCCTGGGCCTCCCTGATGCTTGCCCTTTTGTCATAACAAAGCCTTTCTCCTCGTGGAGGTGCTGGGCCTTCTCTTGGTGAACTCACATCGCCTAGGCCTTGCTCGTTAAGAAGAAACCAGCTATATTCACAGGGCCAGCCATGGGGTAGGCCTTGTTATCATGGCCACCTGCTCTGGCCAGGTGTCCCGGGAGGATGCTGGGGATGGCTCCGGCAGGCCTTACCCATGCCGCCCACCCACAGACTCACATTGCCCGTTCAACCCCCAGGTTGGTACCTGCAGGTGGGGATGTCCTGGAACTTGACAAAGGTCTGAGCCGTGACGTTCAGCTCGTAGATGACGGAACTGAGGACGTAGGAGTCATTTTGGGCCTGCATCTGCACGTCGTAGCTGTGGCTGTTTGCCACCGCGAGGAAGATCCTCTCGCCGATGTGGAAGACCTCCCAGTCTGCAGCTCCGAAAGTCTGGGGTGAATGAAGAGCAGGGTAGGGGGGGCCCCGTGAGGGTGGCTCCAGGCGCCATGCCACCATCATCACCACTGTGCCCACCTGGATGCCAGCCTTTCACCAGAGCCCGAGTTCCTCTGCCTACTTGCTTCAGAGGTCACTCAGCCCCGTGAGGTTCGAGAGGGGTGGGAAGGGCACAGGGAAGTGACACAGAGATGGACACCCTTTACTACGGACCTGGAGCTGTGCACACCCATTTGAATGAGGGGCCTGAGCAAGGGAGACTGTTCCCAGAAAAGCTTGAAGCAATGACAGACAGGGCAATCGTAAGTATGTGGCTGCCTAGGAAGACAGCAGGGCGGGAGGCCAGGGTGGGCGCTCTGTGGCTGATGGGCAGTGCTCTACCGGTCTCCAGGAACCCCAAGCCACAGCCAGGGGCTCTGCAGTCTTAAATCTTGCTCACATCTGTGTCTGACACCCACACTTCACAACGTTGGAGAGGAGCTGCTGTGTCGGGGGGGGGGGTGCGTAAAGGGGAAGCTCTGGAGTGTGGCAGATCAGGAGGTTGGAGCCTGTGGAAGCAGGAGGAGCTAGGGTCGGGAGCCACAGTCCATCAGAGGGCCGTGGCCACCACTGTGGGGTCTCAGGGAGGCAACAGAAAGCTGCCTTGGTGTAAGGAAGGCTTAGGGTGCAGAACCTAAGGGAAACTGCCTGGAACTTAGACACAGCAGAGCAAAGGCTAGAGAGCAAACTCCCAGAGGCTAATGGGACCAATAGATAAGTGTTAGAGGCTCCACTCTCCTTGGAGGGAGAAAATGGGATATGTAGTAATCGCCATGTCCACTATTCAACGACACTCGTCCTATGGGGAACAGGGTGAACTTGGGTTTGGGCAACAGTTGACTCCTTGGGCCAGATTCTGCTGGGATTCTCATTGATAATGGGGACCTGAGCACAGGGCATGGATGTTCAAGCCACACAGCCAGAAGGAGCCCTCAGCTCTCCAGCAGGCTGCGTCTCTGAAGACACAGGCAGGCTATCCCAGGCTGTCCTAGGCTGTTTGAGCTGGGGACCGAGGGAGCCATGCTGTAGATTGTCATCCAGATAGGCCAGTAGCACCTCCCAGCTTCAACTGATGCCTAGGGGCCTCCTGCTTGAAGAGTGTCTTGCACAGCCAGTGTGCAAAATGGTTCTGGAACTTCCAGGTGTGTGTTCTTATGTGCCTATGTTCAAGTGTATATACACATGTATGTAGAGGCCAGAGATCAACCTTGAGTATTATCCAGGAACCATTTACTTTTTATTTTTTTCAGAGAGAGAGGGAGTGTCTCTGTGAGACCTGGGGTTCATGGAGTAAGCTGTCAGCCTCAGTGATCACTTGTCTTTCTAGAACTTAGATTACAAACATGGACTACTTACTACACAGTTTTTTTTTTTTTTTTGTTTGTTTTGGTAGCCCTGGCTGTCCTAGAACTTAACTCAGTAGAGTAGGCTCGCCTGGAACTCAAAGATTTACCTACCTGCCTTTGCCTCCCAAGTACTGGGATTAAAGGCGTGCACCACCACTGTCCGGTCACACCTAACTTTTTTATGAAGATTCTATGGACTTAAATGGCAGGTAAACACTTCATGCACTAAGCCATCTTCACAGCCCTCCTCTGTATGTTTTTACCTGCTCCTTGTCGGCACATTACCCCAAGAGTCCATGTTCCCTCACTGTTCATGGTCTGGGGGCTTAGAAACAACAACAACAAAAAACAACCAAGAGCTCCAAACCGAACACAACAGCATTCTCTCCATGGGCAGCAGAGGGCGCTAATACTCTCAGTGCTCAACCATCCAGGTAGTGGGCAAGAGCCAGCCTGGAATCCAAAGAGGAGGCTGTCCCAAGGATTGATCCAGAATGAGCCTGAGAGGCACAGAGTGAGATTCTAGAGGAATGGCTAGTGGTCCAGAAGAAGTCCAGGACGGGGCCAAGGCTGCCTGAGGCTTTCTAGATCAGCATACCTTCTCACAGGGCTGTGTCTGGCTACCGGGGCCAGTCCAGGGCCACCCTACTTGGCCTACAGGACCTTCAGACTGCCAGATCCCCACCCAAGCACAGCACGGCACAGGCAGTCCCCCTAACTGTCATGGCATTGCCGCTTGCAAGTGCTGAGAAACCCATCACCCCCAACCACACGCCCGCTTTCACACTTGTGAACATACAGACACACTGGTGCACTCATGTCCACAGCGCACACGTACATGTGTAGGTACAGGAATGTGTCTGTGCAATACACAGATTGCTTGGATTTCTCCTGGCACTGGAGTCCGGTAGTCGGGTACTCTCTGGGCGAGGCGGCCTTCCCTGCCTCTCTCGGGGGATTTCCCCCAGAGAGCAACCTGGTGTCCAGGCACTGGGTGTGTGCCACTAGAGTACCTTGGCAGAATAATGGCACTTCCAGGAGCTGCTGCCAGGAGCACCTGGCATCCCACAGCCCCCATTAGGGTGAGCAGGCACTCTGCCATCAACAGATTAGCTGATGGACAAAAGCTACTCTGGGCCTGCCTTTGATGGGGGAAAGAACGAGGATGTTTTTGTGGTCCAGGAGAGAGGAGGGAAGGCAGGTCCATGGCCAGGGCTCCCTCAGCTGCCTAGGGAAGGCAATCAGAAGCCCTGGGGGTTACTGACCCCTCACTGTGAGCACTCAGGTCTGGCAGGCACCCAATGCTGATGTCCCTGAGCATAGCATATTCCCTATGAGCCCCCTCTGTGCTCTTGCCTGACTAAAGAGGTCTCCCCCCAAATCGGGTGCCGTCCAAACCTGCACGGCCAGCGTCTGTCTCAGCGAATGCAGAAGTCACAGGCGTGTTGTGGTATTTACATAGCCCAGGCCAGCATTATCTGAGGGCCATCCAGGTGCTGCTGGCCTGAGAGGGATGCTTGCAGACCACACCTACTTCACAGACAAGTAAACCAAGGCAGGGAGGCGTGACTTGTCCCAAGGGTATATCCATGCTGGGGCGTGTTTACATGCAAGTATCTGGCAGCGATGGTCCTGACCATCAGGATTCACACAGCGTCATATTGACATGTCTGATGTGGTCCTCATTCTCACATACCTTACTGATAGTCCCCAAACCACAGAGCATTGGAGGCTGCAAGACCAAAGTCTTGGGCAAACTCAAAGTTCCTAACTGCATGTCACCCAAAGCCAGCTCGGAGGCTTGCATGGCTGGTCTGTGTGCTTTTCCACATACTAGGTGACAGTGTTCCCCACTCCTCAGGGGCTGAGGATTGAACCCTAGGGCCCGTGTGTGCTTTGCAAACCCTCTACTGCTGAGACATATCCAATTCCGGACTCCAGAGCACACTTCGATTGCAAGGCCCGTTCTAGAACCCTCGGGGCAGGTGAATGGGAAGCAAAGGGCCTGGCCTTGCTATCGCCACCTTGGGACTGGTGATGGGCCAAAGGAGTGAAGGTGCTAAGACTACCTGGCACTGTACTTGGCGCTCTGAGGCCCAGTATGAACACCTGGTGATGGGGAGGTTCTCTTTGCGCTTTAGGATCCTTGGTGCAAAATGGCAGTATTGATGGCTGCAAGCTCCTGGGAACAGGATGGGGGGGAGGCATGGTTTCATGAGAAGGGAAATACATAGGAAAAACGGTGCGGGCACGGGGTGGCTCTCAACAGTGTCCAGATGAGCCTGTGTCAGCATGCATGCAAGCGTGTGTGTGTGTATATCGTCTCCTGCCCTTGCTGAGGCTGAGGCAGGAGAAGTTGGGATGTGGCTTGTCCTGTCTCCTGGGTCTCTGTTGGTTTTGTTACCCAGGCTTCATATCCCACTCCTCTCCACTCTCTCTGCACACTATCTCTGGTCCCACACCTTCGCCAGTCCAGGATTTAAGGTTTCTCTCCTGCTTAACCTCTGCCCCTCTCTAGCTCCAGGGAACTTCAGGCCCAGCCCGTGTACCCTCTTCTGGTTGTGTCTGCTCACACTCCCACTAGGAGCATGTGTCATACAGCCTCCCGGGTGTCAGTTGTCATCTCCTGCCCTACTAGGAAGCCATTATCTCTTGGCTGTTGTGGCCTGAATGTGGCATGTCCCCACAAACTCACACAGAGGCTTGGAACCCCATTTAGCTGGGAAGATCAGGCCTGTCTGGGTCATGGGCAAAAGTGTCATTGTTTGAGGTCAGGAAAGCATGCTGGTATGCACAATGGCAGTCCTCTTTGTCTCTTCCACCTTCTTCCACTCACCCTTCCACTTTCTGCCCTGTGAGGAGGCAGCACTTTGCTCTTGCCAAAAGCCGGGCTGAGGCAAGCCTTGCTCTTGAGCTTCCCACCTCTGGACCAGTGAGCCAAGCAAACCTTATAAGTCACCCCACCTCAGGCTCAATCATGGGCGCCCAAAAGGAAGGCTCTGGAATTTCCAATGTGCGGCTTGAGACACTGGAGGGTGTGGCTAAAGAATGTTTCACTCTAACTGTCCCCCACCCCCACTGAGGCAGCCAGTCTCTGGGCTCTAAGTTCCCAGATGCCTGGAGCTTCCCTTTGAACCATCGCGCTTACCCGTGGCGCCGTGGGAGTGCCTGCCCTATGGAGAGGAGCTTGCCAGGTTTGAGTCCCTGCACCACAGACCCTTCCAGAAAGGCATGCCCTGCAGATGTGGGGGAGTCCCCACAGCTTGCAGGTATGTTTCAGAGTATGCAGTTTAGTTTGCTTCAAAGCTCACGTTCGTGACATTGCAAAATGGAAACGGCTGAAAGGATTTAAGCCAAAGAAGAGAGACGTTGGCAGAGCATGAAAGTGGACTTCTGTGGGTTCTGAGGAGTTTGGGGGGGGGCGATGAGGGCAGCCTGGGCAGGGCAGAACCAGTCCATCCTACCTGCCTTTTCCCTGGTGATGCCCTGGTGGCTTCCAGGTGCATCGCCTCTGCACCTGCCCTCTGCTGTTCCAGCCGTGCCCTCCCGCCCTCCCTCCCCTTCTTCAGCAGAGTCGCTCTTGGGGCTGCCCTCCTCTGTAGCACACAGCCTGACCTGCCCCTGGGCTCAGGGTTCTGCCTTGACCCTGTGCTAAATGCAGAGTGGCTGCTGCCCTCAGCTGTGCCTGTGCCCTCTGCTAAGGTCACTGCTGGAAGCGCTACTGTTCTTGGCAAAGCTATTGCTAGTCAGGGCAGCCCACGTGAACAGACTGCGATCACAAAACTAAACGCTCAGGGGTCTTGTCATCGAGAGAGATGGGACCAGCCAAGAGGCGTCAAAGTCAAAAGGGGATACTATGTCTACCCCAACCCGATCCCCTCTACCCTTAGTCGGTGACAAGTTGCCTTGTTACACCAGATCTGGAGACCCACAGACACTGATCAGAGAAGGGGAGTTTGGGCCCATGGAGAGGCCTGCTGTGGGAATAGCCCAGACTCAACTCACAGCCAGGCTTTCCCCTTGGAGGGGCAGGTGAATGGAAGCCTGGAGGGCTCAGACCACCTGAGAGGACACCTGGCCTTGTAGCATACAGACGGGACAGGCCCTGGGGTCTAGGGCCACGCTCGGCCAGCTCTCACCCAGCCCTGCCCCTTGGTCACCCGGGGCAGCAGGCTACAAGCGGCAGATTGGGTGTCCGCAGAACTCAGGCTTCTCACCAGGAAGGACTGGAAGAGCTGGAAGGCGCCGACGAGCCAGATGTAGAGATGCGAGTGCACCTGGGTGGAGGTGCCGTTGAAGGTGTTGGCCACCACCAGGAAGGAGTAGGGCCCCACGGTGAAGAACTCCCAGTCGTAGGCTCCGGACGTGGCGATGGACTGATGGGTTTCGAAGAGCTGGCTGCTGGGGTTCCACCTGTAGACCACGCTGTCGATGTTGTGATTGTCCCCTGGAACCAAGGTCAGTGCTGGGGGAAGGGGAGCTGCTGGGCGTCACAGCGACTTGCAGGACACAGCTTGGCTGGGGCAGAGACGGCTACTACTCACGTTCGCTGCTAACGTTGCCTGCATGCCCAAGTCCCCCCCTTACCTCATCCATCAGGCAGCCTCTGGGCTTGCACACCCACTGCTCCCGGAAGAAGAAAAGCCTGTGGGTCCAGATAGCCCACAGGCCCACAGCGGCCCTTCCCCATCTAAGCCCCACTCGCCTCCTGCCTCGGCCCTATCCTGCCCCAACAGATCAGACTTTCTCTTATTTTTTGCCTGGACCTTCTCCTCCATGGTGCTCCCTGGAAGTCTTTCATGAGTTGTGCTCCCCAGATGTCTCGTCTTCATGGTACTCTAGGGAAGCCCTCCCCTGCAGCGCTCCCCTGAGGTTCTCCCTCATGATGCTACTTGGATGCATCTCCTGTGGTGTTCCCTAGAGGTTCTCCCCTGTGATCCTCCCTTCGTGGTGCTCTGTAGAGGAGAGAGACCAACCTCTAGGACTGCTCTCTCACAGCTCTTCCTAGAAGAACTTCCCCCCCTCAGTCCTCCTTTCCAGTGCTCGCTCTATGGTTAGGGTCTTGGGCTCCCCTACGCCCTGAGTGCAAGGGCTGGAGCTTTACCCACCAGGCTGCCTGGTGAACTTCAGACTTGGGTGGATCCTGGGCTGTGGAGTCTCCGGAGGGATGTCTCAGAGCAGCCCTGTGGCTGCGCCCCGAGACGTCCATCCTTGAATTCGGAAGCCTTGACCACTGTCAGACACCAGGTTCCCAGCTGGTCCAGGCTGAGCCACCTGCTCTGACACTATGGAGTCTATGCCAGGTGGCCGAGTTTGCTCTCAGGGAAGCAGCGACGACAGCTTCCAAACTGGCTCCCTCTATGGCCACACCCCCATTGACATTAATGCTGCTTCTGCAACCCTGGCTCTGGTCAGTGTGCCACCTGCTAGCCAAGCTGACTCCTCCTCAAAATTGGGGGTGAAGTTGCTGGATACAGTCCATGCTGGGGCTCCATGGCTTTCCTGTTCTTCTAACCTAGGTGATCCGCAGCTGTCACGCAGTTTACGCGGACTACCTCTGACCACACAGTTCAGGGGTGACCTGTGGCCAAGCATGACTTAATGTTGCACGTATGTACATGTGGCACATCTGTGTGGAGGCCAGAGGCCAACCTCCAGTGTCATTTCTCAGGGATAAGGTGTCTCAGTGGCCCAGGGGTCACCGGTCAGGCTATCCTGGCTGCAGCATGTTCCCGAAACCTCTACCCCAATGCTGGGATTACAAAGGCATACCACCATGCCTAGCTATTTTTCATAGGTTGTGGGTGTCAAACTCCTGCTTGTAAGACAAGCACCATACTGACAGAGCCCAGTCCCTACGTATGAACTATGGCATGCTTTCCTTCCAGGTCAAAGGCCACATCTGTCCTACCTTCTCGATGGTTGGCTACCACCAGGAAGTGCTCTCCGTCCACCTTAAAGGCCTCCCAGTCACGGGCACTGTGGGTGGCGATCCTCTGGTAAAGCGTGAACTTCAGCTTTCTGGGGCTCCACTTGTAGATGACGGAGAACTCCTGACCCCTCTCATTTGGCCCAAAGTTAGCCACTGCCAGGAAGATCTGAAAGGGAAGCATTATCTTACGTTGGCAGCAGACCAGGGGCCCAATCTGCAGGATCCTGAAGCTCAGCGTCTCTCCCACATCCACAGGGTAGGGTGAGGGACAGACTGAGAGAGCACCATAGTGTTAGGCATGCTCAGAGCTCTGTGTTGCACGGTTGTGTGGCTCTCCCAGGGACAGAAAGCATGGTTTTCAGTTCACAGGTGACACGTGTGCATGGCTCACATGCAAATGAAAGCATGCATTCATTTAGGGACAAAATGCCTCCTCTTGTTTTTCTGTTTCCCAATATTTCTTAAATACAAAATTATATATATATATTTTTTCAAATCACAAAGAAAATGAGAAACTGTCAGATGTCATCAGGGAAAACTTACCAGTAACACTGCCACCGCTCTGAACCTGGACACAGTCGGTTTTACCTGTTTCATCCCCAGTGTCAGGAACGGGCCCTCTGCTGGGCCAGGGCTTTGGAGACAGCCACACAAAACTGTCTCCAGGACAACGTCCTGCCATGCAGGCTGCAAGAATTGGGAAGGAAACATTCCCTTCTCCTGGCATGGTGCCAGTGCCCTCTCCCTGTACAGAGCTTTTGCTCACTCCAGCCCAGGTAGAAGGAGCTGCTGAGGCCAATTCTCAAGCCCTTGGCCTCTAGGGACCTGGTACTAACATCCATTTACACATTTTGTGTGGCCAGCTTGGCGGAGTGAGAAGTAAGCTGTTCACTCCGCAATGCCTTCTCCATGTTGACTGGCACAGTGAGGTCACTCTAACAGTTTTCTAACCGTTAGTGTGTTTTTGTTGTTTGTTTTGTTTGTTTGAAACACGGCCTCATGTAGCCCAGGCTGGCCTCAAACTCTCTATGTAGCTTTGGATGATTTTGAACGTCTGATTCCCCCTGCCTCCAATTCCCTGAGTGCTAGCACTATAAGCGTGAGGCACCATGCCCAGTTTATGCAGCGCTGGGAACCGAACTCGGGGATCTGTGCATGCTAGGCGAGTGCTCTACCAACCAAGCCACCTTCTCAGCTCTCATCTGAACAGCTTTGGCTTGTAGTGAATTAGCAGTGAACGAGACAGATTTTCAAGCTGGCACCACCTTTGCCTTGTAGAACATTAAGAAAACTGCGTGTGGGCACATTTCTGCAGCCTGCGACCTTGAGCCGTTATCCCTCCTACCAAGGCCTTGGAAGCCCGAGAGATGCTTTGACCTGCAGAGCGTGCAAGAGTTCCAGCCTGCGGGCCCCAAGGAGATGCTCATCGACAAGGAAGGGGAAGTCACCTGTGCGGACTTGCCTTTTTCCCAATGGTGAAGTGTCGCCATGACTGTGCCTGGTGTGTGGCGATGTTCTGATAGGAGACAAATTTCCCATCCGTCCATTTGTAGATGGCCGATCTAGCCTTCCGGTTGGCTGTGGCTGCAAAGAGCCCCACGCCGGGGATGCTGAACACCTCGATGCCCAGGGTCTCTGAGTTGGTGTGCAGGTTCTGGTGCTCCTCCACATAATCCAGCTTGGTCTTGGCTTGGAATGGGAGGATGGGGACCTAGTCAGTGTGCATAGGAATGGAGCTGGGGGCTCTCTTGGGAGTCACTTCTGGGACCCTGCTTCGACTTGGCTCCTAGGCCTGTGCCCAGAGTCCTGGGATTTAAAAAAAAAATTTCCCTTGGACCCAATTTTATCCTATGGGAAAGGCCCATTAATGGGAGGCTGTTCATGACCACTAGGGGTTTCGGGGTTTGCGCAGCCCCAGATTCAAACAGTCTAAGCAGCTGTACTCTCTTTCAGCCATTAGCTAGCCATCAGGGGAGAGCTGATGAGAGAGGCCAGCCACACGGCCCCCACGTCACAGCCAGGATGTGTGTATTTCTAGATTGAACATGCAGGCTTGATACTCTTTCTGGAGTTCTGAGGACATCTCTGAATGAGGCTGGACATGCCCATTCTGAGGAGGAGGACATCCTGGCTTGCCTGGGCTGTTCTGGTGGCTGTCCGTTCTCTGAAGTGGCCCTTAATCAGCCATTCATGCTATCCTTTTCCCAGTGGGGATGCAGCCAGCTGCTCTATGTGCTTAGGATACCACAGGGTGTGAATTCTGGGTCCAGTCTCACCTGCCAACACGGAGACCCACTCGCTGCCCACACACAGGTATAGGCCCTTTCGGGCGGCATCGAACCAGAACTGGGCACCCTCTGCCTTGGTGCACGGTGGCCGGGATCCCAAGGTTACTTTCATGTCAGCTTCTGTGGGAAAGGGAAGGCGAAAGCGTCCAGCGTATCAGAAATCTGTACAAGAGGTCCAAGCCTGCTGGTTCTGTCTTTGTTTGTGGCTGAAGGGAGCCCCTGATGGCACAGGGTGGATAGTCCCGGGGCCCCAACTGTGATGTTCCCCGTGTGGCCAGCTGTCCTCACCCACCTTCTGCCTGGAGGCATGTCTCTCTGTCCCTTTGCTGTCACCCCCTGGACATCCTCAGTAACTCTACACTTCCCTGGGAGCCTGCCTTTTCTCATGGGCAGCACTCTTGGATTTGCATTTTGATCTCATCACTTCTAGTGCCAACATCTGTCTCGTGTCAGAGCCCCTGGCTTTATAGGGACAGCTCCATCAGCGTCGGACAGCTGTGTAACACCCTAAAGCCTAAATGTCCAACACACTCAGATGGGGACTTCCTTTATTTATGATGTGAGAGCCACAAGTTTTGGGGGTCCGCTGTCCTTTATCTCATCTTCTTTCCACTGAGCAAGGTTATATGTGTAGTTGGGAAAGGATTCTCAGATTCTGTAAAGCAGGGGGTGTTTGTTTGTTTTGTGTTTTTTTTTTTTTTCTTTAATAAATGGCCCAACATTGCAACTTAACACTAGGACTGAACGGATATGAACCTGAGAGAGCATATCCAGGAAATGCCATGGGATAAAGGATTGGTGGGAAACTGAGCTAGGTCTTGGCATGGGCTGCACTGAGGTTAGAAAGAGCAGGAGGGAGTGACTGACCAGGGGTCCAGAGGAAGAAATCTTCCTAATTTTAGCCATGACTTCCATCTGCCAGGCGAACCAAGAAATGCACATGGTCTGCCTGTGGGCTGTCCAAGCACAGCCCTTCAAGGGAGGGACAGGTTGGTGGTTCTGACCTTTCTGATGGCTCTGAGTATTCTGGCCACTGTGACAACTTCCCGTCGGCCACAGAGAGGGGCACAATGGAGAGGCTGAGATGGGAGCCTTGGGTGTTGCCAGCGTGGGAAGCAAGCCACGGCTACTAACCATAGGGATATTTCAGCACCTCGTTATCGTCAGGCTTCTCTGTGAGCCTCTTCAGCACCCGGGGAATGGACAGCTCAGCCAGCCTGGCGTTCCTGCTGGGACACAGCCTTGGGGTGGCGTCTGAGCCAGGCAGCAGAACCAGTTGCCTTATCAGGCCCTGCAGAGGGAGAAAGTGAGGTGCCACTGGGGTCTGCCCTTGCTGGGGACCTTGCTGCCTAGCCTGCAGAGTGAGAAGGGGACTGCATGGAGTTTTATTGGAGAGCCACTGGGCGTGATGGCAGAGAACTGCTTACTGCTTTTAGCGAGGAAGGGATAGTCCATGTGAACTAGAGTGACCAGGCTACATTCCTTTCCACCTGCCCCAGCCTTTCTTCCATCTCTTCCTTCACCGTTCATTCACCAGTAATTCATTCACTTAGCTATCTATCCATCCATCCATCCATCCATCCATCCATCCATCCATCTATCCATCTATCTACTTACATACCTTCCTACTTATCCAGCTATCCATGCATTTACCCACTTACTAACTTGTCCTTCTGCCCAGCCACCCAGGCAATTCATTAATAATCTATCACTCAGTCCACCTACCTATTCATCCATCTAGCCATCCACTTGTCCACCTACACATCCACCCATCCATCCATCCAGCTATCCAGCCATCAACTCATGCATGCATATACCCATCCATCTGTCCATCCATTCATCCATGCATGCATGCATCCATCCATCAATCCATGCATCTAGTCACCTATTTGTTCTTCCATTTGCCCATTCAAACATAACACAAATACACTTCCACAGAGTAAACACTATGTGCCAGGTGTGGTTCCAGACACTGAGGACACCACAGAGAACTGTAGATGCTAGCTATGGAGTAGACTCTGGATACTAACCTAGCAGTGAGTACATCACAGGTGATAAATGTGTGAGTGGATGGATGGGTAGGTGGATAATGGATAGATGGCTATGTGGATGGATGGATGGATGGATGGATGGATGGATGGATGGATGGATGAGTAGAAGTATGAGAGGGCATATTGGTGGATGGGTGTGTAGTTGAGAAGGTGAATGAGTGGATGGATGGGTGGATAAATAGATGGATGGGTGGTTAGGCAGGTGGATGGATGAATGGGTAGATGAATGGATGATGGCTATGTGGATGTATGGGTAGCTATGTGGGTGGATGGATGGATGGATGAATGGATAGCTATGTGGATGGATAGATGGATGGATGGATGGATAAATGGATGGATGGATGGATGGATGGATGGATGGATGGAGCACAAACAGCAGGGCCAGAAAGGCTGGATTCAAGCATCAGTTTGCCAGAGTGTTGAGGACAGGCTTCCATGGTAGGAGGACCTGTGAGCAGGAACCCAAGAGTCTCACAGAAGAGTGTGCTAGAAAATAGGAATAGCCAGTGTGAGACTCCAGGACACCTTTGTGTTCCTGGTTCTCACTTAGCATAGATGGCAACCTATCATTTTAAAGCATGTGACAGGCTGTCCCCATAGCCCAGGGGGAGGGGTGCTGCCGGCAGCCCCTCTACACTCACTGTGAATAGGCCTTTGTTTCTTTTCCGGCTGCCAATGAAGAACTGGGCTCCTCTTACTGATAGGGTGGCTGGGAAGGGAACGTCAGCCATTCTGCAACATGAGTGGACAGTACTAGTACCAAAAGAGAACAAAGCCACACCTGTTTTGCTTATAAAGGTAGGGGATGGGTCTCACACGGGGAATAAGTGAGCATCCTAGGGCAGCTGTGACCACAGGCTCCATAGCAGTTAGAGGCCCAGAGCCTGCAGAACTGAGGTCCTGAGGCAGAGGAGGACCCTTCTGCTCCTTTGGCTCTAGTGGCCCCAGGTTTCCCAGCTGTGGCTGCGTGTCTCTACCTCCATCTCCTTTCCACTGCATCTGAACATGCTTGTAGCCTGCATCTCTGGTCTCTGTCTCCCCCACCAGGAGTTTTCTAACCCAGCTAACATCATCTTGACGTGGTTGAAGACACAGTTGGCAGGTAAAGGCATAATCGAAGCTCTCAGTAGACATGAGCTGGGCCATGTTACCCCAGGACAAGGGCTTCTGCAGGATGTGGATACATATGGGGCTTTTTTTTTTTCCTTTTCTTTTCTACTTCATGGTGAACCTCAAGGGCCCTTCCCTGTGTCAGGGCTCCAGCTATGCAGCCACTGTGTGTTTTCACACACACACACAGCCTGGGGAGCAGGACAGGCTGGTGGCTGCAGGTAGGAGGGAGGCACCTTGCTGGTGGCCCAGGAGGCTCTGGAAAGCACTGGTTGTGGTTTCAATAAAGGTTGATCACATTGAGGAAGGCGTGAAAGAGAGCAGGCCAGGGAAGGGGACATGTGGCCGGAGCTTCTGCATGAGGAGCAGTATGCCATGACATACTGTCCTCTCCTATAGCTCCTGCTTTCTCCAGCCGTGCCGTTTGCTGCAGAGCTACCAGGCAGCCAGCCCTCCACTCTGTACTAGGCATCCTGGCCTCTAAGCCTGACCCACATCCTTGGTGCTGGCCTGTATTCTCAACCCCAGACTCTCGGATCTTCCATGGCCACAGTTGCTCCAACTAGGTGGTTTCTGACCCTTGATTGGGCTCCCTCCATTTCACAGAGCTCTGTAGTTGCTCCATGGCCCCTGAGCTGATAATGGAAACCTGCCTCCCATAAGGCCCTATCAGGGACCTGTCTCAGGGTCCAGCGCACCTAACGTATTCTTCATCGTCTGCCTCAGGTAAAGGATGTGGCAGGGCAGGGACAGAAGTGGACTTGCCCATAGCCCATCCCTCGCTTCACGGTGTCAGAACAGCCGCTGGAATAGGGTTGCTCAAATGACTCAGCATGGTCAGTCACTGGGGTGCACATCCGGGTACCTACATGTCCACTGGGAGGCCACAGTCCATGATGAGGGAAAAGGATCCTTGGGACACAGCCAAGATCAGAGTGTGCCACTGGCTGTCCACGAGGCCGGGGCTCCGGAAGGACACACGGGTCTGCCAGGCACCAGCCAAGTCCTCGCTGAGAAATAGGAAGTGCAGCTGTGTGGGTGAGTACCTCAGGCCGAGCAGCAGCGTGTCCCTCTCCTCCGCCAGCAGGGAGAGCAAGTATTCATTCTTCTGTGGAGAGCAGGGCCAGAGGTGGGTAGAGCTGAAGGAAAGGGAGGAGGGAAAGGACCAAGAAGGATGGGCAAGACCAATAGGGTGAGGTTGATGAGAAGGGCGGAGCTAAGGGGAGAGGAAAGCCGGACCTGGGAGGGGGAAGGGGAAGAGGGCGGGGATAGTAGTACAGTAGGTGGGACTGAGAAAAGGTAGGTGGGGCTAACCAAAGAGTGGGTGGAGTTGATGGCACGCTACCCTACCCACTTTTAGGTGGGAACTCAGCATTCCCACCCCAACCCCAGCCACCCCAGGACAAGCAACCTAGTATATATGCAGAAAGGCGGAAAGCTTTCAGCCTGTAGGGAGAAATAAATCCTGCTTCATCATGAAAGAGCCTGTAGGACCTCAGGGGCTGAGTAAAACAAACCAGGCCAGACTGACAGATGCTGCTCCACTACCGAGGCTCAGCCTCCTGCAGACAAAAACAACAGGGGGTCTAAGGGCTTGGGGGTGGAGCAAGCTGCCAGTAGTTCACAGGATAGACCGGGTTTGCTAGGTAGAATGTGAACCAACTCGGTGCCGCTCACAATTGCAGTAAGCGCAGTAAATTCTAAGCTGTGCATGTTTTATTACAGGCAACAAAGTGAAAGGCCTGGCTGGCCTTTGATCTCGAAAGCGAGAGCGCTCTTTCCACTGGGGGCTATTTATATTAAGACATCTCACCAAGCTGTTCTTAGCCCAACACAGGCCGTCTGAAGAGCCGAAAGGTAAGGCAGCTTACAGTAGTTGAGTGTGGGCATGCAAACATGCCCACGTGAGCCTTCCAGGCACCTGTTCTAAAGAGGGCCCACGTGCTCTCCAGAGAGGGCTCACTGTGCAGTATGCCTTGGTCACAGTATGGGACACTTGCTCAGGTTCCTTTGGGAACAGAAAGGGTCCATCGGCCTCTGTGATAAGTCTGTTTCCTGGGCACTTCCAGGAAATGGTGTAAAACTTGGAAGCTAGTGGATAATGGAGAACAAAACCCTCCCACTGATGTCCAGGGTATCAGGAGTCAGAGCAGGCTGAGAGGGAGCCAAGGATGGAAAGTGAGAATGGGGAGGTATAGGGAGTGAGTCCCTAATTCATCCCAATCTAACACACACACACCAGGTTCAAACTGGTGTGAGCTGTCAAGCGCTCCGCCCGTCCAGGGCCCTTAGCTCGTTTCACATTAGTTGCTTTTTGTTACTGTGAATAAACTCCGTGACTTATGGAAGAAAGAATTTATCTTAGAGCTCCAGAAGGAGAGTCCATAAAGATGGGAGATTAACGGCAGCAGGTGAGTGGAACAGGAAGCCAGAGTCACATCTCTAACCACAAGCAGAAAGCGAAGAGTGAACTTAAAGAGAGCCACAGCTATAGGCTCCAGGAACCTGCCTCACCCCCCACCCTGCCCCCAGTAACTTATATCCTCAAGCAAGCTTCTAAAAATCCCACAACCTCCCAAAAGGGGCATCCACTGGAGACCAAGTCTTCAAATACATGAGCTTATTTGAGACTTCTTTCATTCAAACAGCCAGTGATACTCCCCTCCCAGACCACCATCCCTTGTCAATTGCCAAGTGGAGCCCTCCCTCCTAGAAACACTCCTGGCTAAGGAGACAGACATTTGCTTGAGCCACATGTTCCAGAGCATGAGAAGAGATCTAGGTTGTTAGAACCGTTTATTGAAGCCCTGGGCAGATGACAGGCTGATATTGGGGGCAACCAGAGCAGAAGGATGGGGTGGGTGGGCAAGGTCCCAGGAAGCAGGAGAAGAGGTCAAGTTACAAAGGACAGGTTGGGGGCTCCATCCTGCGGGGATCATCTATCCCAGATCAGGGTCAGACTGGAGAAACTCAGAGGAGCCTGAGCCAGATGACACCAGGAACAGGCCCATCAGCAGCTGGACTTCTGGCCCGAGGTGAGGCCACAGCAGGCCTGGCGGGAGCAGGCAGGGCGGCAGAGCAGGG